TTCCCTCAGAACAGGCCTACCGTACGCCTTTGGCAGGGAACTCTTTAGGGCACACAGTGATCCCAAGCAAAACCTTGTGAAAAGAAACAGTCGCTATTGGCTTATACAAAACAAAGTTCCAGGCTCTGTTCAGCTCGTGAGCTGCAGCTTTCTTATTAATCTCAAAATTAATAGCTGTGGAAACAGCTACCTTGCTGATCCCAATGTTGAGTGCCTTGCAGTGTGAAAGAGGCTGATCTCCACTCTTGTGACAGTGGGGAAGGAGTTTGCACCACTCTGGTCATATACAGCTTTATCATGTTATTGAGTATTTTCATCTTGCAAGTAGATATTTTTTGTTTTCCTGGGGTCGCTAGGCTGCATGGCACAAAAATCTTCCTTTGTTGTAAGCTCAGTATTTCTGCCAGTTAAAACCAACTAGTTTATGACTAGGGTTTCTACCAAGCCCCTTATTTGTCCATGTTGGATTGCAGTGCCTTATGCTCATATGATGTGCTTACCATCCCATAAAAACAGATATGTCACTGCTACTGCATCACTTTATGGGTTGAACATTCTGACTTGTCTCACATAATTAAAAATATATGTTTATCTGAAACCAAGCTATTCAAGTAATTTCCCTCAGCTTGTGAGCAGAGGAACTTGGAGGAAATATGTAGTGTCACTTACCTAAGATTTCTCTAAATCCCTGTCCAGAGCAGCCATGGTAGAACATGGTGACTATAAGTTAGTTTCTTAGCTTTCTGGTCCTGATGAAGTGGAGAAAAAGTTTTATGCATAGATTTCCTTCTGCAGTTCCATGTCTATATGATGTGAAACTCCTGAACTGTGACCTTGATTTAGGAACATATAGCTGCAAGATTCTTGTCGTCTTAGGTCTTGAATTACTATGTAGGGTAATGATTTATTGTAAAAATTCTACTTAGCAAGTTGGGAGATTAGAACTGCATTTGTTCTTCCTTTGTAAAATACCTAGAATCCTGAGACATCTTGACATAAAAATAGCAAGGCTAGGGACCCTTCAAGCATTCAAAAAAAAAGGGATATTTCTAAATAAAAGGGTTTTAAGTGCACAATTTCTTTTCCAGGAGCACAATTGAAAACATAGCTCTGTCCTTTAGTTCCTCAGGGCTGCAGGGTGCCAGGCTTGGGAGAAGGCTTTCTACAGTCGTCTGGTGAGGCAGTTTAATTAATCTGGGAACTAATCTCCCAAAGTGCTGAGCAATTTCAGCTGCTCTACTGTAAATGGTGGTCATTTGCTACAGATTTTTAAGGAGAATGAGGTAATTCTGAAGATTATTGCTGTATGCGGTTGGATGCAGGGCATTGGCAGCTGTGGATACCTCAGTACCTTTTAAAAAGTTAATCTAGAGTATCTGCTATCAGTCATTGGCAACTTGCAGTGCTGACTTCTTATGTAATTTTGATGTCACTGCTGGCAGGCATAGCACAGCCTTCTTGCCTAGAGTATTACTGAACTTTCAAATTGAGTGGAGGATGAAATTTTTGAGTACAAACACTAATTCCCTTCCTGTTGCTTCCATTGTTGTTTGCTTGTGGCTGTTGAGCTTCATTTATCTTACCATGCTTTAAAATCACTGGAGCTATGCTAAACTTGTCTGTGGTGTACAGCGGTTACCTAGCCTCTGATTTTCTTTTCCCTTGCCTTCCCTTCCACTTGCTGGATTCAAGCATGCGATGTTGCTCTGAATTTGTGGTGGTGGAATGCCCACTGACTGGCACCACGGGTCCTTTGACAAAGGGGGCTTTGCCAGGCTGCTCCGCCAATGAATGGATTACAGGGCTGGCTATGGAAAACTATGAGGAAGAGCAGCCAAGTGAACTTGCATTCCATGTGGAAGACTAGATAGATCTGTACTGACTCATCAGGGATGTTGTTGTCGCATTCTCTTACACGTTTTATATTGTGTTTATTTTTAAAATGGACAATATTTTGGTGGAAGGTGCTACAGACATTTGTACTGGCAGTGTAGGCTACATTCCTTCAAACTTTAACGGCTCTTTAGAATACTGATGGAAGATGACACCTTTTGCTTTGAGGATGTTGGTTTAAATCTGTTTTTATAGTTGGTAGTCAATGAAATCAATCAGTCCCTCAGATTTGTATAAAACAAGCTGGAAATGCTAGCTCAGTTGTCACCACATATATTTCCACATCACAAAACATACATTTGAAAATTATAACTACTGCAATAAAAAAGCAGAAGGCCATACTTGGGATGCAGAAGAATCAAGATTAGGCATGGGAGAGTTGAAGTGTGAGCCTTAGGATTTGAATCCCATAATCTGAATGTAAAAATTTCAAGTTCCAAAAAGAGGGGAATAACATGAGAATGAAATAATATATTGGTTGAACATTTGTGGTGTGACTTTGAACACCTAAAAGAAATTAAAAAAAAAAATCACAGACTAGATAAAAATAACAGTTAAGGATAGAAAGCATCCATTTGAGATTAGAGGAGAAAGTGAGGGAAGCCACTTGCAGTCACCCAGGAGTAAGAAAAGCATTAAATTGTCATTTAAGAATTACACAGTCTGCTGCCAGTGCATACTCCTAAATCGAATAGTGAAGCTCTGATCCCATTTAAGAAACTGAACTTCTATTTATTTGCTAGACTCTGGGTTTCACTTAAAATCTGGATATGTAAAGTGATTTAACTAGAGGTGTATCTGATCCACCGGTGGGTTGGGGCTTATTTCAGAGCTTTGTGGCCTGTGGCCCTTTCTACTTTTTATTCTTTGTGATCTTCTTTTGCAGTGGGAGGCATTTACACTGTGATCCAGACAAAAACCAAAATTACGGCAGATGAATGGGGTGAAAACTATTTTCTGGTTGGTCCCTATTTTGAGCACAATGTGAAGACCCAGGTGGAAGCATGCGAGCCTCCAAACCCTGCAGTGAAGAAGGCAATGGAGACCATGAAAAGCCAAGGGTGTCAGGTAAAGAAGATGTGCTACTGCTTCCCAGGGCAACAAAGCTGACTCTGAGGAGATTACAGTTTTGGTTAATGCTCTTGCCGTTCCACTTGACACAGCAGTCCTGGTCAATGTCACAATGGGAAAGGCTCAGAATCCACTGTTAGAACAACAGAGTCAATTCATTAAAGGTTATTTTTGAGGAAGAACCAGTTTATCCAATTACAGGTTTTAACAGTCATTTATCTGCAAGTCTACTTAATTGGATTAATGACTTATTTATCCAGTCTCTAAATACAGTGAGATTTTAGTCGATATAATATGACCTTACTTTGACTGAACCCTTATGTTACATTCGGTGTTCTTGTGCTGAAGAGGGAGAGCATTCCACTCACTCACAATTTTTCTTGTGTAGCATTATATTGAGTTGAAAGCCAGAAAGAGACAAAGCACAGGTGGACGTAAGAAAAGCACACAACCAACAAAGAATCTGCTTCCTCAGATCAACGCCACTAGCTGTGTGTTCCCTAGGTAGAGGGGTTAAACTGCAGCACAAGGAGTGAGTTCGTATGTGTTTCCCACCCAAATTTTAACCAAATTTTCTGTGTGATCTCAGTCAAACCTCATAGCCTCTCTGTGACTCAGTTTCTCCAACAATAAGCTAGGAATAAACTTCTTCCTATAAAGGTGATCTGCTGAAAGTAATGCAACCTGCTGTCTTGATAGGCAAGCTACTAAGCTGCAAGCAGCTGCAGCCTTGATGACAATTGATTACCTGAAAATGAGTGGAAGATAACACATGCAAATGTGACCTCCTTTCTTGAAAGTCTTCATCAGAGCTCTAGAATTCACCTTCACCCTGATTCAGCATTGAGTCCCTCAGAGATGCTAGTTGGCAGGAGGGAAAATGGTCTGCTTATAATATGTGCCAAACAGGTGTGGAAAGCATTGAGAGGCAGTATCAAGGAAGCATTCTTACAAGCTTCTGTTGCTGACGGGCATGACACACTTTACTGTAGAAATTCATAGACTTCTTGGACTGCCACCAGCTGCGGCACTGGCGATGTGTTGTCTCCCTTTGTAACAGCAGTGCTGTTGTTATGAGGACCTGATGCCCTATGACATATTATGTAGAAGTGTATCGTTGGGTGTATATGTGTCACAGCCTGGGAAAGTCTCTCTTGGAGACAGTAACATTGTGCGATGCTTGCATTGTTCAGGCTGAGGTTCAAACTAAAAGGTCTAATCTAAGTGCCATCTCTAATTTCTAATCAGATTTTCTTAAGTGATTGATCACGTTTTCCATGTTGGCTCTGTTGCTTACAAAGAGATGTCTCTGCAAGCTGTGTAACACTCCTTTGTTTGGAAAACAGCTAAAGATCTGAGGGGCAGATTAATTCCAATGCTATATCTATACACTTTGTTCAATTTAATCAGCCAACTCTGCCAGCCTAACGTGTGCATTGTGCTGCTGGAGCATTCATATATAGCAGCAAATCTGTCCCAGGTACGTCAAGTATAGCTTTGATCTCTAATAATGATGCTCTAGTTTCCAGGAGCTGCGCTTATCCTATTAACATTTATGTCTGGGTTTTGCTTATGCATCACAATGGATCCCTTTAAACCAGGGGACCTAGGAATGCTTCCAAACTTCTTAGGTCAGGTGCGTTCCTTGCTGCAGCCTGACTCTGTATTTAGGTGAAGTCTGGGTTCACACAAACTCTCTGCTCTTTAATCTCATTTTCATGAATAAAAAGCTGGATAGCCTGAAATAAGTACATAAGGAGCTGACCCTCCTTCACACGTCTTTGTTACCCCTGTGTTTTTGTGCAAGCAGGTCTAAGAGCTTTCACCTCATTGTTTTCAAGACTTGACCTCTGTTCAGCCCGTTGTAGCGTCAGGGCTGAGTTCAGCCCCTGAGGTACCAGGGCCTGGTGAAAGAAAAAGAGGTTGAACAGTGGCATGAAAGATTCTTCTGCATGGTGTATAAACTGCATTAGCCTCACTTTAGTACCTTGTTCTTCCCAGTTAATATGTTTCTGCAGCTATAGCTATTTTGATGGTGAATTAATATGAAATAACGTGACTGTACAGACTGGTACAATCTGTAGTGTGGGCCCAGCTGTGTTGTGTTGGCTTGTGACAGTTCATCCTACTCGCCTAGTTGGGCAGGTAGGTTGTATCAGTGGAGTTTTAAATAGTTGTAGAGATGTTTAACTATACCAATGCAGATAAAGCAGGAGAGCTGCATTTTTAGGCTGATGTGGTTTTAGGTATTATTACATCTTCTGACTGATCCTTCCACTCTGCCAAAGGGCATCAGCTGCGCAGCTTGAGCAGAATGAGATGTCGTGGCAGTTAGAGGTCCCAAGCACCTCTCCTACAAAATCTATCACCAGTAACCTCCCATAAAACACAAAAGATTGGTGACAAATCGGACTGAAAGAAACTAATAATTTTGAAATAAAAGCAAAAATGACATAGATACTTCAGTAAGAACATAAGATGTCATTATTCAACCAAATATAGTCTTCCTAAGTTTTTTTCATGAAAAAAAGTTAACATTGTAATGAAAGTCTAAAATGATATCTTAAAAAAAAAATGTTGTTAAAGATTGTAGTTTCCTTTTACCCCTGCCTTTGGTCCAGTAGCACTCCACGTATTTTCCAAGGAAAACCACAAATCCTGAGTATGTAGGACTATGATCACATATTCCTTATGTAAAATACTTAAGATTTGACGGATGAAAATAGTTATGCTAACTGGATTTTACATTCACTTTAACATTTTCTGCTTATATCCTTGCCTCTTTCCCATAGGTCTTTTTTGGAAGATGGCTGATAGAGGGCAGCCCATATGTCTTACTGTTCGATATAGGATCAGCAGCTTGGAATCTGGACAGGTGGAAGGGTGAATTTTGGGATGCCAGTAACATAGGAATCCCTTTTCATGACCGAGAAGCTAATGATGCTGTGATTTTTGGATCGCTAACAGCCTGGTTTTTAAAAGAGGTACAGTTTTTAAATCTAGAGATTTTCAAACCTCAGCCTTGTCAGCAGGGCAAAAAGCTTTGGAATATGGTCCTATTCTCCTGTTTGAAAACTATGATTTTAAGGAAGTTGATACCTAATGTAGATCAAATTTGTATTTAAAACTTAAACCTTAAGGGGTCATTTAACTGTATCTTTCTGGGACAATAGTGGGGTGAGGGCTGCCCTATGTGAAAGGTGCTGTCTTTACTGTCACCTCCCCCTCTGTTTCTTCTCAACTCTCTTATTTATCCCTGAATGCTCTTACAAGTAGGATCTCAAACTCCCTTTTCCTCCCCTGTTCTCTAGTTTAGAGAGAAGAATGTCGTGCGGGACACTGTCCTTGAAGCCGGTCAAGCCAAATCTCAGCGATTGGGTACTACATTGCACAGGGAGTGTAGACAGACAGAAAGAATTAATGTTAGCAATGTGACTTCACATGTCACTCTACCACAGCCTACCTGAAGAGAAAGCTTTGTTAATCTGCAGAATCAGCTGTTTGCCATAGTGCTCCTGACTTACTTGTCCAAAGAAGAGTTTCAACAGCAGAAGAGCAAGTTAAAAGAAAGGAGAGTGACTGTGCTTACCAGAGGTCCCCAACACTATAGGAAGGATACTGTTCTGAGACACTAGGGGCTCCTGGGCTAAGGAGTAGGGCTGATGGGAATCAAGACACAGGACCACTTAAAACACTCTACTGTTTTGTCATATGAAAGAAAGCAAGCACACAGAAGAAGGCATGAAAAAGAGAGGTTTCTGGGGCTGCGATGATGAAGAGGATAATGTATGTTTCATGTATGTTCTTTCTACTTATTTTCAGCTTTCCTGTCAGTTTGATGACAAGCCCAACATAATTGCCCACTTCCATGAGTGGCAGGCAGGAGTGGGTTTAATACTGTCTCGCTCTCAGAAACTTCCTGTTGCCACAATTTTTACTACCCATGCGACTCTGCTTGGGAGATACCTTTGTGCAGCCAGTATAGATTTTTACAACAATCTTGACCAGGTAAGAGATGTTTTTCTAATTCCTTCTTTTTTTTTTTTCAGCTAATCAGCTCCTGGCTCCTTTTCTGTTCACTGTGCTACACCATATATTGTATTTTCTGTCTTGTGTGATCACTTATGATTGACGTGTAGCTGAGTGATAGGTTGTCAATTCCAGAGCACAAGAAATGGTATTTGTAACACCATGAGGTGTCTAGGCATGATTGCCTTTGTCTCAGGATCATCCGATGGGTCCTAAAGCTCAGAGGAGTCTAAAATACTTGCACTACCTTCAGTAGACTTTGATTTACCAAATTTGCACTGCAGAGTACTGAAACTCATTCATCCTCCAGGCAAGTCAGTGACTTAGTACAATCCACTGATACAGGGAGTAATACTGCAGCAGTATGGGATTGCCAACAGAGATTCTTACCTTCTTTTCAGTGGTTTGGCACATTTTTCAAAGGCGAGGGGAGAGTTACGGGTCCAGACATCACTGCAAGTCAAGTGTCCTTGAAAGTCTCCACCTTTCTGTTCAGGAAAGGCATCCATTGCTTGAGTTGATTGCTATAGTTTGGGAGTTACTGTTAGCAGCATGAGTAACCAGTGAATGTAAAACCTATTCAGCTGTAGTCATCATCTGCCACTTCAGGTGCAGCCTCACAGCACACCCTTTCTTAATGAAAGACAGTAGAAGAAATAGCCAGTAGCCCTCCTCTTGCTGAAATTACCCTGGAATGCCACTAAATGTATTTTTCCTCAGCCTACTTCTTAATTCTTGCAAGTCATAGTAAGTCCTTCTACTTTCAAGCTTTTCAGGTTGGGCTTAATTTGCAACTGGCAAATGTAGGAAGTATTTTCTGAGTTCAAAAGAGCCACATCTGTTTCTTGGAATTTTTGTAAACTATCTAGTAGTTTTGCTTTTCACTGTTCTCTTTCCACTCAAAGCACAGCACAAACCAACATTTTAAGGACCCAGATGTCTTTGGCACTGCCTTCAGCAGAGGTACATTACGTGATTGGGGTTTCTCATACGGTTATAGGCAAACTCAGTTAAAGAGATTTTTGCGTTCCAGCACTTACTGAGGGTAGAGGTAGTTAAAAGGCTAAAACAACTGCTTTGTTCACTGTGCATGCATTTCCTTGGCTAAAATCAATGAAGAAAACTACTCAGCTGGCAATTTTCAGTTGGATGTTTGAAGCTTGACACACTGTGGAACAGTGTTTTCCAAAGACGAGGCTCAAGCACTGGTGTGCTACTGGCCTTATTCAGAAGCACAGAATAGTCTGACATCCCCTTGTACTCCAAGGAAGCCATCATTCGTCTTACTCTTTTTTTTTTTTTTTTCTTTCCCACTAAAGTCAACTACTGAGTCTACTGGTCACAGAAAAGACCGTGTCCACTCATTAATTTGTATGCATAAAGGTTGCAGCGTGGTAGTGTTTAGGGGGAATCCTCTCTGCCCTTTACGAGGTAACTGACATAGGTGGTTACTCCTCCCAGGCTCTCTGTATCATCAGTGGAATTACACTGGCCTCTTCACAACCGCTGTAAGACAAACATCCTCAAATTGCCGTCGGAAAGATCTGTCTCCATTCTATCACCTAGGAAAACTAGTCTCCTAAATTAGATACATTTGCTAGGTGCATTAATGAGGCAGCATGAATAACCCAGTTATGCTGCCAGACCAAGTTTCAGGGTCTAAATATTCCTACTCCTTCATATTCTGCTTATGTATATATGCAAAATCTAGCTTTAAAGTCACATTAAATTATTTTTCTCTGGACAGACCTGGATTGAAAGAAGTAAAACCATGCAGTTTCAAGTTTAGCACTTGAGAAAGTGGGGACTTTTCAACAGTAACTTTGTGCATTCAGCCTTGCATTCTTACTTATAATTTGTTAGAGGAAACCATAGTTTAAAAAAAAAAAGGGGGGGAGGGGGAAGAAAGGGGGAAAGGGCATTTAAAATGAGAAATTAGAGTTTAAAAAAAAAGAGAATGCTGATTGTTTTACAAACTGATGCTAAAAATACTATGTCAGAGCCTTGCTTTCCTTTTGTAAAGGAAGTTCTAAAAAAAATTTGCTTTGTTTTGTATTCTGGTTAATTTGGTGAGCTACAAGTAGTCTGGCAAAATACTCTGCTTTTCTCAAAAGCAACTTTTTTTCCCTTCATGATAGCTTTGGAGGCCTCAGCCTTACCCTTGTCTGTGTACTCAAAAAATAATGATCTTACATCTGAGCGGACTTACAAATTTTAATATATTTATCATCTAGTCACAGTATTAATATCATTTTTACTGTTGATGCATGACATGGCCAACTTAATGTGATAAGGTACTGTCCATCCTTCTGCAAAGCTTCACAAATCCCATTGGTAACTATGAGCCACATGATAAATACAGAAATTTCTATTCAGATTTTATTCTAAGAATATATTAAATGAAACATGCGTATCAGTTTGAAGTATTATTATAAACTGCTGTAAATAGTATTTAAGGGAGGAAACTTGTGGATTTCTAGACCTTCATGCTTATGCCCTCTGTGGAGAGATTGGCATTTAAAGGTAGTAACAGAGGAGATGATGCCAAGCTGTTATACCCCTGTTTAACATGCTTATAATGTGCTAAAGCGTTTCCTGACAAAGTTAACTTTTAGTAAGAGATCAGATGTCTTAATGAGGGCTCCTTTGGCTGTAAAAAGGTCAACCTGGCCCAAAAGTCGGTTGAGAAACATGAGAGGTTGATCTGAAGTACAGTAATTAAATGATACAGATACCTAAGTCTTCAGAGGCTATTCTTGTTGCTGTCTTCTAGTAGTGAACTATTAAGGTCAGACAAGCAATTTGTCCAGTGGAGAAGATTATTCAGGGCTTCCTGATGTTTAATCTTTGGATGAGACAATATATTTTTAGGGTGTGTCATGCCCTCCCATCCCAAAGTAGAGTAGCTGGTTTTCCTGTTTTAGTGCTATTGCATAATTTTCTTCCTTTAAAGCATAATAAAATTGACTTTAAGTTCTCACTTTTGATCAGTGTTTCATGGTTAGAACACAATTTCCACCGGCTTTAAGCACAGCAGCTGAGATGGGTGAGAAGGATGCAGCTGTAGTATGTACTGTGCCAGATATCCCAGGAAAATAGTTGCAGCACAAATGAAAATGGTATGGCTTAATTGTGCCTAGAGACAATCGGGCTTGCCCAGCTCCTGCAGAGAAAAGAGGAACCTCATGTTCCCATTTCTAGTCCCCAGTGCAGTCCGCAAAAAGCTGGCTTAGAACACCTGCTAGAGAGAGCTCTACTCAGCACTCTCAGGCCAAGTGTGTGCTGGTTTTGGCTAAGATAATTTTCTTCTTAGTAGCTAGTATGGAGCTGTATTTTGGATTTGTGCTGAAAACAATGTTGCTAATACAGGGATATTTTCGTTACTGCTGAGCAGTGCTTACACAGAGTCAAGGCCTTTTCTGCTTCTCACACTACCCTGCTGATGAGTAGGCTGGGGGTGCACAAAAATCTGGGACAACTGACCCCAACTGACTAAAAGGGTGTTCCATACTACATGATATCATGCTCAGCAACATAAAGCTGGGAGAAAAAGAAGGAAGAGGGGGGCATTTGGAGTGATGGTGTTTATCTTCTCAAGTAACCATTAGGTGTGATGGAGCCCCGCTTTCCTGGAGATGGCTGAACACCAGCCTGCCAATGGGAAGTAGTGAATGAATTCCTTCTTTTGCTTTGCTTGTGTGTGTGGCTTTTCCTTTACCTATTAAACTGTCTTTATCTCAACTCACGCGTTTTCTCGCTTTTACTCTTCCAGTTTTCTCCCCCATCCCACTGGTGGGGGAGTCAGCGAGTGGCTGGGTGGGGGTCAGTCACCGGCTGGGGTTAAAGCACGACAAAGTGCTTTTCTGCAGCGTTGAAGGATTTAACAGTGGGGTCCAGAGGCAAAACCATGACATGGTTGTTAGATGGCTGATGAAAGATATTTACCTGATATCTTCATAGTCCTTTCTCTCTCTCCTTTCACAGTGCCGTGGGTGTGTGACCAGTGTGTTGTTCCTCACTGTAATATCTCCTGTTAACCTTGACACTGTAGCACACTCTCAGTTTGTCCTCCACTGTCCATCAGCCCTGCCTGCTCTGCACACATGCACGCGCGCACGTGCACATGCCCACACAGCGCAGCCTCATCCACTTCAGACTTAAACCACCTCTGTAGATAAGCAGCACCAGAAGATACAAGATGAGTTGAAAGATCTCTTTTAAAAACATAAAGGATTACTGAGATTTTCTTTCTTTCTCTGGATTCCGTAGTGGAAAATACCACTTTAATTCAGCTTCCTAGGAAAGTTCAATAGGTGCCAATTGGCACAAGTATAGAAGGTACAAATGTACACTCTGAAGCAAGCCAGTGAGGTCAGTAGTTTTAGACCAGAGTAGACTTTGGCCCAAGTCCTAACCCGTTTGGAGTGAATGTCAGTATGAATGATCAGGCAAAGGGCCATGCAGTGCAGAGTGGCTGACATTTTCTCTAGTGCTTCTATCAACATAGAACTCAAGTCACCAGCCCCTGTCAGGCACTAAAACTGGAAGGGAAGGCTCCATGTGGTCTTCTGATAGTCCTCACAAACACTGGACTTGTGAAAACTTGACCTTCAGCCTTACTTTTTGCAGAAAATTTAAGACTGACTTAGTTGCCACACTGCGTTGTGTGATTCTTTGCAGACTGCCTGAATCACAGAGGCCTGAACTGTAGGCTACCAAAACTCTTTGTTTCGTGAGCTGAGGGCACACGTCAGCCTGTGAGCTGTAAGAATATGTTTTCTGGGGGACTGAAAACCTAGTCAGCCTAGCAGATTAGAGCTGTAGTTTGCTGGAAGATAGGAGCGTGCACTATGGAGGTAATGACTGTACTGTTGTCTTGACTCCTGAGCTCTTCCTGAGCCATCTGCTCTTTGCCTCAATCAGAGACGGGATCCTGGTTCTTATACAGCATTACTGTATGAGATTATACAACCCTTATA